ATGATTAATAATTGTTAATTGATAAGTATACAAGTATATTTTGAATAGATGATATGAGAATCTAAGATTATGAAAGGGGCACCAACGAGCTGGTAACTGGTTGACAGACGGTATAAAATGGAAGATTTTTTTTATGCTTTTGTATGTTTTTGTTTGTTTATGTATGTTTTGTGTTTGTTGTAAAGAATAAAAAATTTTATTAAAAAAAAAACAAAACAGGAATGGAACATGAATGCTGTGGCCCTCGTAGCTATGAGATATGTCACCAAAGACAAATAGCTCTGCCTTCCTTTGAAGAGACGAAACAAAAGCATCAATCTATAGTGTAGAAATTGAACCTATTAAAAACTTTAATAAAGCAAACCTTGTTTTGGCTTTAAATAGTCAAAGGACACAATTACAATTACACCTGATAAACACACAAGCAGTGTATTAAACCTCAATCTCCCATAGAATGGTACAAAGGAGAAGTAAGGTTGTTGAGCAGACCATGTGATGGATTTCTGGCTTTTTTTTATTTGGAAGCACTTTGATGACATTCCAAGCAGCATAAAACAAAGCACACACAGTTTGCTGAGCATGTGGGGAGAACTTTAAATTTAGAGACAATCATTACAGTTATAAAAGTCCAGAGACATTACCATGTTTAACTCCTTTTAACAATATCCAATGAGCAAATGCCCATTGAAATAAAACATGCTGATGGAAATTCTAATTAGATGTCTTTACCTAGACTTTAGAGAAATATCTCTATTGTCTTTCCAGCAGCCTTCCTTTCCCCTACCCACAGAGATGTTTTCCACTGGCCTGCCTCCCTCTCTCCTTCTCTCATTCATCTATCCTCCCAGCGATTTCTGTCCCAGAAATAGAGAGCAAAACAAGTTTTCCTTCATTCCCATTTCAGTCTCCTTTCTCATTCCACATACATTTATAGAAAGCCACCTTCATATCTATGTTCTTCAGAGACTCTCTACCTAGGATCACCTACAGATATCCTTCAGATCTGCTTTCTATACTTTTTTTCTCATCTCAGCTTCAAGACCAAGGCTGTTGCCTGGTTGCAGGAATCTCCTTTGGGACTTGCCTGAACAAGGCTGTAGTTTTCACCTGTCCCCCTTTTTGAAGCTATAATTCCAACACAATTACATGCTTGTTTTCTCTAGCCAATAGGAAAGGGCTTTAGTCATCCCCCGACCCAAGTTTTGCTGTCACCAGACATATTTTAGCAACAAGATAATCTCTCCTTCCTTGTTCATTGATATTTTGTGTCTTGGGTGTCTGGGTGAATGTGGGAAGGAGAAAGCACATACTTGAGTGAATCATGCTTGCTCTTCATTACAGCATCATTTTTTGAATTTCCCTGGTAACCAGGGAATTAAGTTAGTATAACTTTAATTATAAGTGAGAATGCACAGCATAATAGCATGTAAATGATGAATGGCATTTTTCTCTTGTCATAAAATAATGAGAATAGGAGCCAGGATTAAACAAAAGAGAAAAGAAAGACAATGAATTAAGATAGTTATTCAGATGCCACAGTACCTACCAAAGAATATTATGCAGGATGAAAATGTGTTAGTCTTCCAATAACATATAGAGTCTATAATGGTAACATTCATAATTGTATGAAAAGAGGGGCAGATGCCCTAGACTGAGATTTTAGTTTGGCCTTCTTGCATTATGGAAAGAGTGATAATTTAAAATCTTACTGTGAGACCCCTCTTCTAAGGGTTCCCCTTGGAAGGTAAAAGGTAATTAAGATAGGCTGCCACTAGTCAGACTGAATCTCAGGGTTTTCCTTCAGCCTAGGCCTTAAAGCATACGAAGGAAGATGTTTTGGAAGCCCAAAGCCAGTAACAAAAAAGAACTTAACAAATTTTATGCCAATTATAATTCAAGGGGTAGGTATGAAACTTTAGTCTTATACAATGGCAATGTTTTATTGATAAGCTCCCTTTTTAAGCCAATAATTTAAGCAAAGCATTAATTATATAAAAAGGAGTGTATCAGGAAAAGGGGAATACATGAAAACAAGGGAAGGCAATTATCAGGCACACAGAATTCCAAATAAATATAGTCAGCATAGACATATTTGCTACTTACTACTTTTTGGGCTGAAATCAATGCATGTTCAAAGTTCACTGCCGAGAGGATAGTTGGGGGGAAAAAATAACCTGCTCCTAGTCTACATTATCCTCAGTTTTATGTAGAGTGGAATGTGGAGCATAATAGAAAACTAGCCTCTTAATGGAAATTAACAGTTGCTTTGCCCAATCAAGCAAAATGTTCCAAAAAAACTGCTCCTTGGAGGCATTTCAGAGTGCTTCCCTCCCCCAGTTGACCACTTATGTTTTCATTGCTACTCACTTGTCTCCAGGTGTTTCCAGCATCAGATGAAACAAACATGCTGATATCATTCTCTGACAACTCTGATCCAATGTTACCTGTAAGGAAAGTACCACCAACCTATAAAACTTTAAACATAAAATAAAACTGAATTATTTGTGCTTTTAGTAACATACATGGTGTTGACTAGTGATGATTTAAGGATGTATTTTATTGTACAGTAAATGAAACAATTTAGCCAGTTGGTTCATTAATAAAGATGCTTGTGTACCACATCATATAGCAACATTTCACATATATTACCTAGTTAATCATGTTGCAATTCTTGCACCAAGTTTACAAAATAAGGGTAAGGCAAGTGTTGTCCTCTAGATTATGACAGAATTCTATTTCTCAGCCAGCATAGCCAGCAAGAATGGGTGTCACAGATCAAAGATTTCCCACCTCTTTTATTATGTAAGTCAACTTTGTTATCGTCCTTATATTGCTGACAGAATATGAGAGACAATGATTTGATTCAGGACAAATTTGAGAGTTCATAAGAGAGAGAGGGAGAGAGAGGGAGGGAGGGAGGGAGGGAGGGGGAGAGAGAGAG